GCTTACTCAAGCATAGGGAAAGGAGAAGATTTTCAATAGCAGTAGTTCTTGTAAATAACACTTGCCCCTGGGTTAGCCGTTTAGTTGTATAGTTGAGTATTAATAGAAGATTTGTGTATCCCCTGGGAAAGAGTTTGTCGGATGATCCTATTTAACAGATAAACAAACAGGAAAGAAAAGAAATAACTTGAATAGATAAAAATATTCTGCTTTAAAACTTAAAGGAAATGTTTGGTTGTTATCTGTATCAGGTAAAATTACTGAATAGGATTACAAATATTTTAATGATGAACAATGAAAACAGCTCCAGTTGGCGGAAGGTGATATTGTGTGGCTTAAGGAATTGAACAGATGGCAATATTAACCTATACGATGGTATGAAACTTGTTGTTGTTTTTTTAACACTACACTCAGTGACATTCCATCTACAGGATGGCAGCCTGTAAATAATTGAGACTTGACCAGACAATCCAGTGATTGACATCATGAGCAGTGATCTACAAAGTTGGGTTATCACGTGAGCACCTTGATTAAAACATGAAAAGATTTGTAAAATATCTGTTGAGGAGTTGGCGATTTGGTGCATATGCTTTGCAAATCCTGCAATCGACCAAAATCTGCACGACACATTACGAACCAGATTTTGATTGGACTATGCATAGACTTGTTAGTCCAGCCAAAATGTAACTCCATAATACCAGCCTAGTTTGGCAAGGGTGGAAACTGGACTTTGATAGTTAGTTAACTCACTTGCCTCGGGAAGATGGATGGTGGTATGTAAATTATGGAGTCTGGACCAGACAATACAGTGATTGGTATTGGTAACAAGGATTCCGGCCAACAACCAAGTCACTGAGGACCAAATGATTCATTTCGTCGCCACTTACCAACATCATCTATTTTAATCTGGAATCCAAACGGGATCAGAGTGAGTGAGTGAGTGAGTGAGTGAGTGAGTGAGTGTTGTTTAACGCTGCAGGCATGGGTAGTCCAGCTACATCATGACAGTAGTAAATAATCAAATCTTAGATCGATGCTCATGATGTCAATCACTGGATTTTCTGGTTCAGACTCGATTATTGACAGTGTCATATAGCTAAAAATATTGCTGAGTGCGGCATTAAACAACAACAACAACAAAAAACAGAAAAAAACAAATCATCACTGTCGACCATCTGATCCTCATTTTAGTCCCTTCGATGTAGAAACACATCCACCAGGGACTCATGTGTCATTACAAGAATAACACGAAAGTGTAAATGTTGATGCAAATATGTATTACTGTCATGGCCATGTTACACCTGGCCGTTAATTAATTCAGCCCACCTGAGAATCAATTTCTGATACATCGCTATGTTGCCATCACAAGATTCACCAGCAGGTGAGAGAAGTTGATGATGGGTGTAGTTGCCAAAGTCAACACGACAATGGCCTGTATGGGACAGTGTCTATGTACCTCACGGATGGGGTGTGAAATATTTATGAAGGGAGTTGAAACTGTAAACAGCTTCACTGGATGGGATTACTCTTGTTTACAATGACACTCCGAGTGAAGAGATTGTGACGTTTAATACCTGCATGGATTAGTCAGTTTACTCCCAGCTGTGGTGTATAATGGCTCTCGGATTCTAACTTGGAGGAATGTTTTGTATTTGCAAAAGATACTACATAGTTATGGGTGTTGCCAAGTTGATCTTTGTGTGTTTGTGGTTTGTATAGAAGATAAAGGTAGAGAGGCCATTCTGTATGCATAGTATTGTGATCTGAGGTTGTCATTGGCGACATGCATAGGAAAGGGGCACCTGATGAAGCATAGAGAAGGTGCTTCATGATATCATCACATAGTGTAGTGGTCTATGCAAGAGGTTGTCATGGTGATCTGTATTAGAGAAGAGCACCTGGTGAAGCATAGAGAAGGTGCTTCATGATATTACATAGTGTAGTGGACTGTGCAAGAGGTTGTCATGGTGATCTGTATTAGAGAAGAGCACCTGGTGAAGCATAGAGAAGGTGCTTCATGATATTACATAGTGTAGTGGTCTATGCAAGATGTTGTCATGGTGATCTGTATTAGAGAAGAGCACCTGGTGAAGCATAGAGAAGGTGCTTCATGATATTACATAGTGTAGTGGACTGTGCAAGAGGTTGTCATGGTGACTTTCATTGGAGAGAAGCACCTGATGAAGCATAGAGAAGGTGCTTCATGATATTACATGGTGTAGTGGCCTGTGCAAGAGGTTGTCATGGTGACTTTCATTGGAGAGAAGCATCCATGAAGATCCAGGATCCAGCGACTTTGCTTGTCGTAAGAGGCGACTAACGGGGAGCGGGTGGTCAGGGTTGCTGACTTGGTGCATGTCATCATATCCCAATTGCTTCGATCGATGCTCATGATATCAATCACTTGGTTGTCTGGTCCAGACTCAATTATTTGCAGACCACCGTCATATAGCTGGAATATTGCTGAGTGTGGCGTTAACAAACAAACAAAACAAACTTTGTGTAATGATCTGTGCAAGAGGTTGTCATAGTGACCATCACGGGAAGGGAACATCTGAAGAATCCATTGTATAATTACAACTGTATCGTAAGCATGTGTTTTAAAATCACTTTCAAACACACCATCCTCTAGGCGACGCTGTCCTCACGAGGACATGTAAAGATAATTGAGGGAGTGTATGGTTTTTGGTCCTTTCTATAATATTCCACCAACATCACTGCGGGACACCATAAATGTGCTTCACACATTGTACCCATGTAGGGAATTGAACTTGGGCCTTTGATGTAAAGCGTGACCACTTTAACCACTAGGCTACCCCACTGCCAACAAGGCACAGCTGCACCTAGTGCCCATGTTCGTCTGAATGTCAGTAGCTTCAATATGCCCTTGTTACAAATGTTTGCATGTGGGTTTATATAAAAAACAAACAGTGCACAGTAGGAGTTACATGGTGTTGAATTTGCTTTTCTTCTTTTAAAAAAATATTTTATTAATTTTAAAATTTATAAAAACATATGTTTATTATTTTGATTTATTGATGAAAGTATAGAGACAAAAATTTACACAAAATGGAAGGGTCCACGTGGCTGGGCTGACCCTTTATGTGTAATAATACCAATGATTTCTTCACTGACACGTTGACACTATGTCCACCCATAGGTTAACAATCAGCTATTTAGTTAATGAGCTACTAAAATGGTCAGTAGAACAGGACTTGATTGATGGAAAAATTACCCCTGTCAACTGTCATAATCTCATTAATGGCGCTCAATTTGGTTTGATTATCTTTGTCAAAGCATACATTAGGTTTATGCAGTATCTATCAAAATCAGACTCTTAGCTTTGAAGGTTCATGATCCTGAAAACAAACTGATATAAAAAATGTGCATGGGGCATTTATATTCAAGGTGGATTAGGTGCAAGGTCAACATGACCTACTGTTGAAATATCCTCAGTGGTAACCATTGTAGCTTTAAGAGAACCGGGGCGGTCGGGTAGCCTAGTGGTTAAAGCGTTCGCTCGTCACGCCTACGACCTGGGTTCGATTCCCGACATGGGTACAATGTGTGAAGCCCATTCCTGGTGTCCCCCGCCGTGATATTGCTGGAATATTGCTTAAAGCGGCGAAAAACCAAAAGAGAACCAACAAGCTATGAGGATTTAAGGATTATCTATCCCAAGTGGTGTTAATCCTAAGCCTTTAGCGAGTGACTTACAGCATTGTTTCATGACGGACAGATGATCCATAATTCCGAATTTCAGGGTTATTGTAATACTCGTTACATGAAAGATAACCTTAAGAAAAACATAAGAAATGTCAACCCAACAGAAAACTTCACAAGGCACCCTAATGATCAGATGACATCAGGTAATCAGTTTGTGACATCATGAACAATGAATCACTCGCAGATTAAGTTTGTATGTCTGAAATCTATAAACACGAACTCCAACTCCTCGTGGACTACATTCAAGACCCGTGAAGATCCAGGCTAGAATAGGTCTTCAGCAACCCATGCTTGCCGTAAAAGGTGACTATGCTTGTCGCAAAAGGCGACTAACGGGATCGGGTGGTCAGACTTGGTTGATACATGTATCGATCCCAATTGCGTGGATCCATGATCATGATATTAATCACTGGATTGTCTGGTCCAGACTCGATTATTTACAGACAGCCATCATATAGCTGGAATATTGCTGAGTGCGGCGTTAAACAACAAACCAACCAACCAACTACATTCAAGGCTAAAGCAAGATATGTAGGTTTTGAAACTGTAAGTGGACTGACCCCGTTTCATGTAGACGGAGAGCAATAAGAAACCCTTTTATATGTCAATATAGTCACTGATCTTTTCTGCCACTGTTCTATGATTTATGTTCTTTGTGAACTCACTACCTGGACAGTATGCTTTATAATGATGACTCCCTCAAGAGAATCCAACCTTGGCAATGTTTGATAAGTCCATTTTATGCTCACATAAGTTGTTTATATAAGATAGCTATGCGATAAATCGCAAATAACAATGAAGAACGAAGTGTGGTTTATTTCACGATAAGACATTGTTCTATCATGACGTCATTTTGGGAGATTTGAACATGTGCCACGCTCCTCATGGTTTATTCTCCCTGCAGTGTTTTAATGTACGACTAACAACTCCCACTCTTAGTTTATTTCTTAAATATCAGATAAGACAGTCACTCTAATATTTGAGAAGACTTGCAAATAAAATATAGTGTCTCAATGTGGTTGAAAGTTTTCTGCACATCTGAAATAAAAAATCAACATTAAAGAGTTTTGAACATAGTCTGTCTCCCTGACCAAAGGGAATAAAATAAATACAATGAACCAAACCAAAGTCTAGAATGATTTGACCAGTACTGAAATTAAGCATTGTTTTGGGCTCCATTTGGATTATATTTTTGAATAAGATAACGTAATTTCTGGGACTTGATTTGAATGCTATTCGACACAACATCTTTAATACGGTTGTCTTCTTTCCAGGTGAAGAGACTTCTGCCAAGTGGTGCATGTGCCAGATCGGGCAGACTCCAGGTCGGGGACAGGTTACTGCAGTGTAACGGACAGCTTCTCAAAGGTCTCACACAGGCACAGTGTCTCAGTGCATTGAAGAAAGCAGGAGATAATGTGACATTTCGCATTGTTCGACAGGAGGAAAGCGATACAACTATAGAAATAGTCTCTGACTTGTCCAAACATAATCAAACTACATCACCTTCAAGTTCGTTTGATTTGAAGGAGAGTGACAGACTGACGCGTGAGGAGCGTATATCGAGCAATCTAGGTTCAGTGCAATCACAGAGGGATACATTGAGTGATTCACAAGAGGTTCAGCCAAGCATTAATGAAGTTTTTGCTCAACAAAATGTGAAGTTAGCTTTCAGTCAACCTTTTCCACCTCAACAATTTTCAGATGATTCAGAATCTGTGACAGATTCCAGTATGTCGAGTCCAGTAAAAGAAAGAAAAGATTTGCTTGGTATGGATGATGAACAGTTAATTGATGTTGGTGGTTTCGAGATACAAACAGATTTGTCTGGCCAGTTGGATAATACATATGTTGTGGATACCCCAGTTGTTGACCTTGAATCAACTCCAAGGGATTGGGAGATGGAGAATGATACAGAGTATAGCAATCCTCCCACTGGTAAACCTCTAGCACCTATTATTGAAGGTATTCCCCCACCAATGGAGTTTGCAGACATGCCCCCTGATATTATGTCTGAGCCTCCCCAGGAGCCAGATCAGACTGTGCCCGTGACAAATATTGATGACCTTCTAGGGCTTGATGATGACGACTCAGCTTCAGAACCAAACCAACAAGAAACAGTGCAATATAATAGCCAACCTCTTGACTTGCTCCTAGATGTTGGTGGTACTGATCCTTCAGCTATATCTCTTGAGGTTGATGGAGAAGTGTCAGAAAAGACAACAGATCTCTTAGGTGACTTGTTAGTGCCTGATATTCGTGCTGATATTTCGAGCAGTAGTTCAAATCTGCTTGAGGAAAGATGGGAGAACTCTGGGGAAGTGGGAGATCTGCTGGGAGGTTTCAAAGGGGTAAATGTTACTTCTGTTGAAAATACTTCAATTGATGAGTTTATTTCCATAGGGAATGTTACCCAGATTCCTGTGTCAACTGATGAGGATGCTGATACCAAGAAGGAAACACTAGAAGACGTTGTTCATACGACAACCAAATCTGTGAACCAACACATTGTTACAAAGGTAGATGTGATGAAGGAAAAAGAAAATGTTGAAACACCAGACAATCCTGTTTCAGCTTTAATAAATGTAGATGATCAGCCCAAATTGAAGTCTACTGTCATTGAGGTAAATGGCAGCACTTCTCAAAAGTCAACAGTGATTCGCATTGACCAGGGCCAGAAATTGAAGAATGCATCACCAATTCATTTTGTTCCACCAGTGCAATCAACATCAGTAAAGGACTTGTACGGAGAGGACATTATACAACCTATGAAAATGAAGAGGGAGATGGGAGGTGTCCGTATATTTGAAGATGGTGCTGCAGAATCAACTGCCAAAGCTGGTCAAAGACAGGTTGATCCTGAAGCCAAGAGAGACCTTGCAGCAATTCTTGTTGAGCTGACGAAATCATCAGGACATATCAAGAAGAAATCAGTTGCAAACACTACCTCAGTTGCAGAAGAGGACATTGTGCCCACAAAAATTTCACGTGAAGAGGCACAGAAGGTGCTGGGAGTGTTTGAACAATGGCTATCTGGGGGACAAAAACCACCTGTTTCTCCATTCAAGAAAATGGTATCAAATATTATAGAAGACAAACCTAAGGTAACTAAGATCAGAGTTGGAAGCACCACTCCACTACATGTGATGCCACCAGTCAGAAGTGGAGGTACCAATGATTCCGGGGAGGAGGAGGTTATAACACCCATTCTTGTGAGGAAGGATAAGCATGGAGTCCGAACATTTGAAGAGGGGTCAGCAAATAGCTCCCCTGTGCATAAACCCAGGCAGATTGATGAGGAAGCCAAGAAAGATCTTGCAAAAATATTATCAGGTTTGACAACGTCGTATGATCAGACCTATACAAAAAAGAAACCTGAAAGCTCTTATGTCGATGAGCAGGAGATTGTTCCCACTAAGGTGTCCAGAGAGGATGCTCAGACTATTATGAACGTGTTCACAAACTGGTTGAAGAGTGATGAAAAGCCTAAATCAAATCCTTTTAGGAAGTTGGTCTCAAATGTTATTGACACTCTTGATGAACCAGACAATGAGGAAATTGTAACTGTCACCAAAGACAAGAGTACACCTGTGATAGAAAAAGTCATAAAGACTGAAAATAATAATGTTGAAAGTGCCTTACCACAAACAAGTGGTATTGAGCCTGATGTAATAGTGTCTTCTCATGTTTCATCTTCTTTTGCACCACCTAAACCAACAGCCAGAGTACCACGATCACCACCAAAAGAAACCACCTCAGAAGTGCAGGAAGCTCCCCAGAGAGTTCCTCCAACACCTGCACCAAAGCCAAGCTCTCCAAGCGAAACACAGGTTTTAACTCAGAAGCCGAGCAATCCAAAGGAAACCAATGTCTTAACTCAGGAACCACGACCAACTCCAACACCACCAAGCCCAAGACTGAATCTGAAGTCTACCAACAGATTCAGCACAGGGTCAAGTCTCCCACCACTCACAGTGTCAAGAGGGTTACCTAAGATGGGAGGATTGAGTACAACCATTAAAACTCAGGGCCTGCATTTTTCAACCAGCAAGTCTTCTAAGCAGGAGTACCAGAAGATGAGGAGGGATGATGGACCGTTCCAGGTTGATGTCCTGAAGGGCATTGTGGGACTGGGAATCAAGATACAGGCAGACACAGATAGATTTGCCAGAGTATCAGAGATTCAAAGAAACAGTCCTGTGGACAAGAATGGACAGATCAAGTAAGAATTGTTTTTGTAATTTTAGTAAATGAAATAATTGGGTGCTGATGCTCAGCTAAAAATGTAAGATTATGCATATATGGTAATACAGTGTATATTACTTTTGAAGTGTAAACATGCAGATGACCACAGATAATCATCATTACCTTTAAATGTTAAGAGTAACTTGTATGTTTTACGCACTCAAAAGTAGTTGAAGGAGTATGATTGTTTGTTTGTTTGTTCATTGTTTAGAGCCACACTCAGCAATGTTCCAGATATATGATGGCGGTGTGTAAATAATCAAATATGGATCAGACAATCCAGTAATTGACATCATGAGCATCAATCTATGCAACTGGAATATGATGACATGCATCAATCAAGTCAGCAAGCCTGACCACGTGATCCCGTTAATCGCCTCTTTCGACAAGCAAGAGGTTGTTGAAGACCATTGCTAACCCGGAATCTTCACGGGACAAAGAAATTTGAGATATCAGTTCATGTTGCAATCACCTTCATATGTCACATTAGCATCCTATTGAGTGTCATGTCTGTTGTTTCAGAGTTGGAGACTATGTTCTGTCCATCAACAACACCACACTGACAGGGCAGTCAGATGCCAGAATACAGCAAATTCTGCGACTTCTTCCAAGAGGTTTAGCTAAGATTGTTGTATCAGCTGTACAACCATCTGAAGAAGATTGCCCACAACGTAAGTATTTCATCTAAGTCTATACACACCTACCCACTTCTCTATTGATGAATATTATATGGCACTCAAAAGATCAATTAAAGTAACTTGTCCAGATCTGTATTTCTTAAGGTGGTAAACCGTTTCTTACAAAACTGAATATGTTCTTTGAAAGAATCATCAAATAAATAATTTACATACATGTAAAAATTTATCCTATATGAAAAATGTTATGCAGAATGGAAATGTATGAAGGTGGAACCAAGTTAATCATAACTGCTGGTGGCTTGCAGATGGTTAGTTCCATCTGATATGGTGTTACTTTAGATTTCATCACATCCAGAGTTTAATCCCTTCATGTGTACCTCTGGGATAACAAGAATGGATATATAAAACATCATTTAGAACAGACCACTGCTAAAGATTGTTCAGTGAATAGCAAATTAATTATGGATATCTACTTTGATACATCCTTTGACATTTTGAATGTTTACTGAGGAACCATATCAAAATGTATTTTATTTATTTTCAGCCACTGGAAAATCAGATACCCTCCTTACATCTGCTGATAAACCCGCTGGACGCACATCTCCTTTTGGTGTCAGGTTAGGTGCAAAGCCCTTCAACACGGACGAGAGCAAGTCAGCTACAGTTACTTCTCCTTTAACAAGAGACTCAGGATTTTTCGAGTCAAAAAGAAAATCTTCCTTGTCACAGCAGGACAAGCAGCCTGCTACAGTGGACACTTCTGAACAGCCTACCCACGTATCTACAATAGATGTGACAAAGAAAGTGGTGGAAGTGAAACAGGAAGAAAAGAAACCTGAGGAAAAGCATGTCTCTACCATAAATGTTGTAAAGACCACTGAAGTTGTTACAGACAAGAGTGATATGCCACCAAAATCCACAGAAACATCGTCAACTAAACATGTTAAAACTACTACAGAACCTGCGAGGACAGTACCTGAGGTGTCTGTTGACTCAGGTGTGAAGTCAAAGTCACGCATCCGAGAGTCTGTTGAGACAGTGCCACCATCAACAGATAACAGGAAGGTTGAGATGACAACTACAGTTACAGAGACTGAGGTTGAGATTGAAACTAATCCTCCTGTTGTTGCTGAAAGAAAACAACAAAAACCTGAACCTGTGAAAGTACCAAGACCTGCACCTAGACAAGCTGTGCAAGTGGAGAAGAAAGAGGTTGTCAAGGAAGAGGAAAAGCCAGCTGTTTGTGAGCAAACTGAGTCAATAAACAGCCCTGTGATGAAAAGTCCTCCCAAGGTTCCACCTAAACCAAAGGCAAGAGTATCCTTGAATGATGCACCTGCTCCTCCAGCACCTAAGTTTGACCAGATAGAAGTAAACGAAACAGCTAATGATGACTCAAAACCCAAATTTGTCTCTAATATTGTAGTAGAAAAAGAGTCTTCTCCACCAAGAATATCAACCAAATCAGTGGTAAAGGATGACATAGATGAAGGTGTTGTTCCTGACATTAAAGCAAAGCCTTATGAGAAGACCCCTCCGCCTGTGCCACCTAAGCCACGGAGAACATCATCAGCTAGTTCGGATGTATCTTCATCATCTATGATGTCAGATGACTTCCACATTGAAAATGAAGTGGAGTTTGGTCAGAGAAGAAGGAGAAAATCATCTGCTAGTTCTGAAAAATCCACAGCATCTATCAAATCTGAAGGAATCCCTGAAGAAACATATGTGCCAAGAAGAAAAGATGAGAATGCTCCAGAAAAACGGTCTGTCAAGGAGAAGATGGCTGCCTTTGAGGCTTTTCAAAAAGTCGATGAAGGTGACTCAAGGAGATCATCTAGCAGTTCTGTTACACCTGTGAGAAAGATTTCCAGCTCAGGTCAAGGACATGAGGTTCATGCACCTAAAATGATTGACCCTCCAAAACCAAAAAGTAGAACTGATCTTGCATCATCTGCAAAGAAGAATGTTCCTGAAGAAGATGGTGTGTTTATTGTATCTCGTATATCTATCAAGTCTCAAGTTCCATCAGACAAAAAGGAGGAGAATTCCTCACCTGTATCTCCAACATCACCAACATCTCCAACATCGCCTGATGGTAAGGTGAAAATAAATGCAGCTCTTGCCCCTAAAAGGCGAACAGGGCTCTCAGAGCCAAAGACAAAGCCAGACCAGGGTCATCACCATGCTGTTCCTAAAACCTCCTCCTCCATCTTTAAACCAACAGGACTTGAGCGACTGAAAAACATTACTGGTCATAAGACTGATAGTGGTGAAGTGGCTCACTCGTCAAGTCCAGATGGAACATATAAAATTGGCCCTGTCAAAATGAACAATGCTCTATCTCCAAGAAAAGCATCAACAGAGGAACCACCATCTCCAGTTGGACTTAAGTTTGGTTCATCTGCCTATAAACTGCATGCTGGAGAGGGGAAAAAGATAATGTCAACATCTATTTTGTCAGGTAAGAAATTTGTAAGCACCAAAGACACACACAGAAATAAAGAAGACACCTCTGCACTTGTTACAGCCAAAGTTGTGCACATAACTAAGCAATCTGGCATTGACACTTGTGTCAAAGACAGTTCTGCATCTTCACTTGAAGCACCAAGTCCTCATTCAGTTGTTAAATCATCCTATGTTACAGATCACGAGCATGTTGATGTTTCACAAATTGTACCAGATTCAGCACAAGACACAGCACAGTTAAGAAAGGGACACAGATCTATCAGTGGTGTTACTGAGGATGTGTCCACAACTGAGGACACTCAGTTAAATGCTCAGAGTCCATTGCCAGATACACCATTACAGAAAGATGTAACTTTAAGAGTTGACCTTGATTCAGGAAGTTTGGTTATTGATGGCGCCACAGTGAAAGATTCCAACACTGATGAAACAGTAAGTACAGACAGTGCTGAAAATGAAGCTGAAATCGACAATGTTAATTTAAAGACTGAAGAAGTGAAAGAACAAATTACTGTCCCCTCAAAGAAAATAAACTATAAAGAAAAGGAGCCCATTCCATCTAAGCATGAAAAAGTGTCCTCCTTAGAAACTCCTGCACAACAGGAGGAAGGTTTGATCTCTGATGAACAGGAGGAAGTGTCAACCTCGGTGCAAGAGGAGGATGTGTCGACCTCGGAGCAACAGGAAGAGGTTTTGACTCCAGAGCAGCATGTTGAGAAGATAGTAGATGGAAATGGTGGTTTTGCTGCAAAGATTGTAGCAGCATCACTTGAAGCAGCAAAACAAGAGCTGAAAGTAGAAGCAAAGGTCAAGGTTAGTGAACTTTCAGAAGAAGTGTCTGAAAATACAGAAATTCAAGTAGCCAGTGAAGACAGGAGAACTGACAATCAGACAGATGTGCCAGTAAAACCATTCACAGATGAAAGATCAAAACATGCTGAAGACACACGGAAAGAAGAGCCAGTTCCAGAAAATGAAATCAAGGCAAATATTGAAGACGAAGTTACTCCTACAGTTCAAACAATTGTTTCAGCACCACCAAACTCAGTAGATATAGCTGATGAGGATGAACTTGAAGCCAATGCAGCTGAATTAGTGGTTGCAACGTTAGAGTCTGCTAAAAAGCAGCTGGAACATGGAGAACAGTCGGTTGTTGTGTCATCTCCCTGCCCCTCTCCCCCACCCTTGCCAGGCTCAGCCCCACCTCCACTACCTTCAGGACCTCCTCCTCCCATCCCAACAGAAGAACATGCTGATGATTTGGCTGAAACGGACACTCAAAGTGTCATGTCCAAAACAGCTACTGAGGTAGTAGAATCAGTCCCCGTATATATCCCAGAACCTGAAGTCAATATTTCTGTACAGCCTAAACAGGAGAGTATGCTTGTTGATGAAGATGATGCTCCGCCTCTTCCACCAGGGCCTCCACCACCAGGACAAACTCACCAGGATAGTACAGCTGTACAGTCACCAGAGGTGACAGCTGTAGCATCTGCAGACATCAAATATCAACCCATACCTAAGACTAGAACCACAGTTCAGACCACTGAGGAAGACAATGAATGGGTGGAAGAGATTGAAAAGGTTGCAGCCCAAGAGTCTAAATTTGATATGTTGATAAATTTTGATTCTCAAAGGATGCCCAAAATTGAAAATACTGCTACCCTGATTGAGACCCCATCTTCAGATACCGATTCTGGGGTCAGCTTGCAGATGACCTCTCCAACATCTCCTAGTGCAATAGAAGACAGTGCTGTGGAATTGCCAGGTTCTTTGACTAAATCTGATTCAACACCTACAGAGATGCAGAACTCTGTACATAATACAGTAAAGCTGGTTTCAACGTCAGTAGAGCCTGTTGTGGATTCATCAGTGAGTAGGAAGGATATTAAATCCATCACTGAAACTGGTCCAGTAGCTCTTGGAACAACATCTACTAAAACTGTCACTGTGCAATATAGTTCAAATACGTCTTCGCATGAACAAGATTCTTTTAGTTCTGTTGATTCACTGCATGATAACACTCCTTCAGTTTTGCCAACTCAGACCCAAATGTCGGTGACTAAAACAGACTCTCGTGATAAAGACATTCCTGCACCTGTGTCGCATGTGTCACAAGTTTCAGCATCCTCAAAAATCATGTCTGATTCCAGCAATGCTTCTATCTCCCAGGTATCAAGCTCCCGAGAGTCATCTCCAAGCGACGTTCTCAAAAATTCTAAATCTACCACATCTTCATCCAGTAAAAAAGTATTTTCATCTACTCCCACTAAAGATCATGGCAATAGTCAACATTCAGTCTTTGAACCCGATGTTTCAAGTATCCAGTACAATTCAACAAAGCTAAATAGTTCTCAAAATGTACCTCGAACAGAAAATCTTTCATCTTCAAGGGTTCTCAACAAATCTTTAAATGTGTCAACCAAGTCAAGAGCCTCCTCCACCAGTGGAAACAAACGACGATGGAAGATGGTGACGACTGGTGAGGATGCAGTGGATAAGTCCATTTCAGATCTGACTGAAGTCTCTGACGCCAGTCTTGTCTCTAGAGATGAACTCTCCCGTATGATTGACTTAGCCAATCAGAGAATGGATAAGACAGGGATTTCTTTGGAGGATGAAATTGTAGTTGTGGTTTTGACAAGAGAAAATCTAGAGCAGGACCTTGGCTTTGAACTCAGAGATGGTATTCTCAAGTCTAAAGTGGTGAGTGATTGTTCTTATTGTCAATCATTATTATGGTGAGGCCTCATTATATATAATCAGTTACCCAGGATTGTGCTCATATTTGACAAGTATCATGTTTTAACTATGATTTTACTGCTATGCCTAACAGTAAAATACAAGAATATCTGTAGCATAATATATACCTTTAAATATGTAATGGACACATGTGTTTGCTTACAAGAATGTAGCCCAAACTTGCGAATTTTTATACAGAAATAGTTTTCTCTTTTTCCAAACAACTAATAGGTTTAAATTAAAATAGAAAGGGACTCACTAGGGCTGGGATGAGTCTAGATTTACTACCCGGGTACCCACCCCCCTATTACCCGACCCTACCCGGGTACCCACCCCCCTATTACCTGACCCTACATGGGTACCCACCATAGGTCTCAAGAGATACAAAATGTCCGATTGGGAATTTCTTTACCACAGCACTTGCAAAACGTATTTAGATACATGTATTAAACGATCCGGTCATGCATACACTGAAGTTGACTTAGGTTATATCTATATTCAACAATAGGGAAAGTCAGAAGGAATGGGTGCATAGTCAGAAAGAAATGCGAACATTAGTGACTTGTAGTGTAACCATAGGGTTCTAGATAATTTTTGTCATTAAACAATATATCACGTGACTAACCTCGGGTCTGGGTAGTCCTGTTAGTACCCTGGTCCTACTTAGTACCCACCCGACCTGGGTACCCGAGTTACCCATCCCAGCCTTAGACGGTGTGACTTAATTAGTTCATCTTTGTAACTTAGTACTACTGTAATTAATATTGTACTCTCTGTAATGACTATAATCGTGCAAGTCTCAACTAGATTAGGGAAACTATCAATATTAATTCACTTGGGACAGACAATCATCACTCATTCGGGTCGTCGGGTAGCCTAGTGCTTAAAGCGTTGGCTCGTCATGCCAAAGACCCGGGTTCGATTCCCCACATGGGTACCAAGTGTGAAGCCCATTTCTGGTGTGCCCTGCCATGATATTACTGGAATATTGCTAAAAGCGGCGTAAAACCATACTCACTCACTCAGCTCATTCTCAAAATAGCATCAGGTCAATTGCATGTCTGGATAGAAACTGAAAAAGTGGAAATTATGTGATTTATGGTGATGGAAAGTTAGCCTGGGGTGGCAACAAAGGGAAGCATGCAATAATGCCAAGAATAATGCCCAGTGACTATCATGACAATCCGACTTTCACTTGTTGCATAAAAAGTTAGATTTTGAATCTTTGTGATTCTCATCGGGTTGTAGAAGGGCATGGAGTCAACCCACAGACGCCCTCCTTACCATGTCAGCTTGCTGATGGGATTAACTTCTTAGGTGATGTGGACAAGGTATCTGACCTAGGATCAGAAGGTCCATGGTTTGAATTCCATGCCAAGACTCGAAAATGTTATGGCGGTTACACTAGGACAATGTGATTCCTCTTGAAATGTTCCTCCATACATACTGACAATGAAGAACCAATACAGAAAAAAAACTATTATTCCTGTGTGAATAATCTCAGTTGTGATGTTTAGGTATGTGGATTAAAGCCCGGCAGCCTTGCTGAGAAGGACCAGCGTCTACAGCTCAAGGACAGCTTGTTGTCAGTCAACGGGAACCTGGTGGACGACATGTCAGCAGAAGAGGTGATGAAGCTGCTGAGTCAGCCCAGCCAGCATGTGACGCTTGTCCTGGCCCGAGACGGCGCCAACAACACCAGCAACGGGCAGACTACAGCAGTCACCAGCGTCAATGGGAATGGTGAGCTCAGAACACATTCATTCAGATGGGCATGTCTGAGTAGGTTTTGAAGGCACTGTTAGCAGCAATATCACTACAGGGCCTAACCAGATTTTGTTTGTTTGTTTGTTGTTTAACGCCGCACCCAGCAATATTCCAGCTATATGACGGTGGTCTGTAAAATAATCGAGTCTGGACCAGACAATCCAGTGATCGACATCATGAGCATCGATCCACGCAATTGGGATCGATGACATGTATCAACCAAGTCAGTGAGCCTGACCACCCAATCCCGTTAGTCGCCTTTTACGACAAGCATAGTTACCTTTTACGGCAAGCATGGGTTGCTGAAGACCTATTCTCTAGCCTGGATCTTCACGGGTCGGGCCTTACCAGAAAAAGTCTTCACACATTATACCCAAGTAGGGGAATCAAACTAGGACTCTGGCATGACATTGAACACTTTAACCACAAGGCTACCCCATTCATTACCTTGAGAGCCAGAGGATGTTTTTGTCTAATTTCTTTAAATTATGATTATCATTACTGTATTAAAACGCAATAAAAGCCCAGGGCGCTCTCAAAATTAGAAATAGGGGGCTCTTATAACAATAAAGTTTTAGTGAAAAATAAACAGAAATGAAAGATCTTAAATTTCGTGGTTTATGCTGACAGCCTGAAATGATACAAAAGAAAAGTCTGTGTGTATTATACACTACACTATTTTCCAGAATTTAATTGCCCATAATTAAGGGTGCCTATAACACACAAGTGCGTACTATACACGAATAAATAAGTTTTGTGTACATTGATCAATTTGAAGGGGTGCTAATTGGGATTGTTCACTAGCCATTATAATAACAAATATCGCCGTGGGCGCTTATTAGACCGGGGCGCTTATTACGTTGAACACGGTCTGTCAAACTGGCTCACCACAATAGTTAAAAGACACAGATTAATTTACTATATATATATTCATAGAAGCTATTCCCTTCCTGTTGTTAAAGACTTCATCATTTGCAGGCTACCATGATATAGCTTGAATAGTGCTGCCTGTGGCACAAAACAAGGGCAAAACAAAAGTCTACAATGTCACAATGTTGGAAGAATTTTTCTGTGTCAAAGCTAGAAAGAACTCTTGGGCAACAATGTACTAAACGAGAGCTACTAACAATTCCAAAAAGGAAACTAAATGTGCTAATTACCTTTATACCTGAATTAAGGACAGTTCTGATCACAATGTTGGAAGTATTTTTCTGTGTCAAAACTAGAACTCTTGGGCAACAATACTAAACGAGAGCTACTAACAATTCTGAAAAGGAAACTAAATGTGCTAATTACCGTATTTACCTGAATTATGCCACAGCTCTGATTGTTTTGCTTGAAATGGTTTCAATACAATGTGCATGTTTCCCCAGGCACAGACACCCCAGTGCAAGAAGGCCCAGGTATATTTGACGTGGTGATGAAGAAGGGGGTCACGGGCGTCGGCTTCTGTCTGGAAGGAGGGTTGGGCTCACCCAAGGGAGACATGCCTATACTCATTAGAAGGATATTCAAAGGTAGGACTGCAGCCACCATCGAACTTGGTGTATACTTTCTTTTGCTTGGCATAATAGAGAGATTCATGTACTTGTATCATAGTGTTTTTATTGCACTTTGGACCGCCTCTGTGGTCAAGTGGTAGATCGTTCGCCCGGAGAGCGGAAGGTCCGGGGTTCGATCCCCTGACTGTGTCCAACCAAACCATGTTAGAAGATGGTACTTGTTGTTACCCTGCCTGCTGTTTGGCATCAAGGGGGGAAAACAAGAACTGGGTCTCTTGGATTCGATATAATATATCCAAGTTGGTTGTTATACTGTTTCCTGGTCTGGTACAAGCAACCACACACATACACATACATTCACATCTGTATGTAAGTGAAATAATCTTTAACATGACGATCAACCCAATGACACCTAAAAGTAAGGATCCTAAAGTAAGGATGGCCTGTTACTTCTTTGCACTGAAGTTAATGGTATAACTTTCAGCGGTTTTAATTAATTGTCATGACAAGTTCTTATCAAGGATTATCAAATTTTGTGAAATTATATTTATAATTAAGTTTACAAAAAGCAAGATATTTTTTATTCTGACTGAGATGGCATCCTGCATATGGTAATATATATGTGGTGAGATGGAAATACATTTGAGCCAATGGTCAAGGGGAGATAACTGGTCAAAATGTATATTGTCATGGCAATGCCAATGATGAAAACAGAATTTCAATAAAATCTTAGAAAACTTTACAGCAGCATTAGAATTACACACAAAAGATACTTCTCTATTGTTCTTTGCCTTATAATAAAATAATCATAATATTTAATAATTAGCCCTTATGGTTACCAGAAATGCCAGCAGTGGATTTGATCTGAAAGCTGTTTAGAAAATAGTTGATTTTCCAACACAAACTATCTTCTCAAATTTCAGGAGGACCTGCAGAAAAATGTGGACAGTTGCGAGTCAAAGATGAAATCTTGAAGGTCAATGACATTGATTTCACCAGCCTGCGCCATTACGAAGCTTGGAATAACCTCAAATTTCTACCTGACGGTGACGTCCACATATTGATCCAGAGGAAATAATGCAACAGGAGTTATCTCCCTTCTGTGCACATCAACCCGTATCACCATGTTCATATTGATCCAGGAAACAAAAAAATCAACAGGAGTTATCTCCCTTCTATTGTATTTTCCCCAGCTCCATCCCTTATACTCCCAGTATAGTATATAGAGCTCTGCGAACTGGCTATCACTGTGAGGAGCTTGGTATTTCCCTTCACCATTACCGCAGATCTACATCTGCTACAAGTCTATGTTACCGGATAACAAACACAAGACTCAAAAGATCAATACTGTGATAATTCAGCATAGTCAGAGGTAAATTTAATCACCTGCTGCAGCTGTGACGCTTATCCCATGTAGAAACACGCTTCTGGCCTCCGTACTTAATCCCACCTGTGGATCTGGCTTATCCCATCCTACTTGTACACAATGATATTAGACAGTGTTATTGCTATCAGATTATTGCAGTCATGTATATTGTATCTGTTCCAATAAATGTATTCGATGCTTTTTACCGTCATGAATTATATTAATGTATAAACACCTCATATTTTCAACATGTAGAGAAATCTGTGTGATAGTAACCTACATATTTTCATCATCTAATAAAATATTTGTAAAATTAAAACTCATTTATGCGACATTGAGAGAACTATGGGTATAAATAGAATAGAATAACCCTGATATATTCAACGTCTGAAGGTGTGAAAATAACAGTGGTCCCCGCAACTATTGGGGTGGTCCCTGCAACTGTGGGAGTGGTCCCTGCAACTGTGGGGTGTGGTTCCTGCAACTGTGGGGGTGGGGTCTGGGGTTGGGGGTTGGGGGGTGGTCCCTGTAACTGTGGGACTTACTTGATTACCACAGTAATCTCACCTTAATTGAATTATTTTCATTGCGTATTTTGATGCCCCATCACAGCTATTGGATGTGTGTCTTCTATCCTCATTCCCCAACAAAAAGTGCTTTTCTGGTAATACAAGCAAGTGTACCAAAAATAACAATTAAATATTTACTGGGTATATGGTGGCATTAATACTCCCATCGGATTGCCCGTTTTAATATTTCAGCTCATAAAGATAAGATAGCCTTTTATGACATTTTAATAATTCAGTTCAAAATGTCTGACATTTTATGATGAGTCAGCATTTCTGAATTATGACATGGTCTTATAAAAACAGTCCCGTGAAGTTTGAAGATCATTGTTGATATACCTGAATTATAATTATGTAGCTAAACTTTGCTGTAATTCACCACAATGTGCTGACTAGGCCCTACAACCGATCCTTACCAGCTGTCATTATTTCATTGTATCCCCAGGTCATTGAGTATTGATCTCTAATGTATATGTCCGCCTCCGTTTGAATTTCTGATATATACGTGGTCGTGTCTATTGACAGAACGTACACTGGAGGTAGCCTTGCTATGATGAACTTAGGTTATTTCTGTATATGTGTGTGTTACATTCTCACTGATCTGTTTCATCAACACTGGACATTTTCTCCAGAAAGAAACTAGACGTTATCACTAGTCCACACTGCATCAATTTTGTGTTTAACAAAATCCCTAAGAAACAGGCTGTCAGGAATTTGTAATAATTCTGAGCTCATTAATGAACAATACATTGTCAGGGATGTAGAATTTTGTGTTTTTGTTGTCCAACAAATGAAGATTTTTTATGGGAACAAGTACGTTGTAGTTCAATACTTCGGCTGTCTGTCGGTGTTGTCCCTGGGTGTGGTCCAAGCAACTGAAGGGTGGTCCTTGCAACTGTGGGGCTGGTCCTTGCATCATTGGGGTGGTCCCTGCAACTTTGGGGGTGGTCCCTAGATACTGGAGGTGGACCCTGCAACTTAGGGGGTGGTCCCTGCAACTGTGGAGGCAGTCTCTAGAAACTGGGGGTGGTCCTTGCAACTGTGGGGGTGGTCTCTAGAACCTGGGGGTGGTCCTTGCAACTCTGGGGGTGGTCTCTAGAAACTGGGGGTGGTCCTTGCAACTGTGGGGGTGGTCTCCAGAAACTGGGGGTGGTCCTTGCAACTGTTGGGGTGGCCCCTAGAAACTGGGGGTGGTCCTTGCAACTGTGGGGGTGGTCTCCAGAAACTGGGGGTGGTCCTTGCAACTGTTGGGGTGGCCCCTAGAAACTGGGGGTGGTCCCTGCAACTGTGGGGGTGGTCTCTAGAAACTGGGGGTGGTCCTTGCAACTGTGGGGGTGGTCTCTAGAAACTGGGGGTGGTCCTTGCAACTGTGGGGTGGTCTCTAGAAACTGGGGGTGGTCCTTGCAACTGTGGGGGTGGTCTCTAAAAACTGGGGGTGGTCCTTGCAACTGTTTGGGTAGACCTTGCATCATTGGGGTGGTCCCTGCAACTGTGGGGTGGTCCCTGTTCCTCTCTTGTGGGATTATCACAATTATCACACCTTAATAGCAAATATATCACAAGAAATGTGTGTATAAAGACAATTCATGTCACTTCTTTAGTAAGATTCATTTGATTTTGTAAAAATTGTCATAATTTCTTTTAATAACCACAAACATTTGTAATGCCTACACTTATTCTACAAGTAAGAATCACATATAAGACATTTATGTGGCTAATGGGATGTATGAAATATGTGCTGAAACATGATTACATGTATTGTTTATGTTTAATATATCATATCATCACAAAATCTGATTGACAGGATGTTAGTCTCAAGATTAATTCTTCAAAATGGTCTCAGCTTTTACTGTGATGAGATTTAGATGCTAATTTACAAGTCTTGTTTCAACTCATTTCACAAATTCTCTATAGACGGAATTTGCATGCGTAAGATGAAAAACATTTGGAAAAGTATGTTTGACGTAGGTCACTATGACATGTATATAGACAAATATTTGTAAATAGCTTTCCATAATTGTTGTCCTCGTGTATATAGGATAGATAATATGTTAGAAATATTGTATTGCAATAGTTCTTGTCAAAATAAATACAAATACAAGCACGTTATTGTTCACTGAGAGTTATTTTCTATTGTCCTTAACAGATCAAACCTTACCTAGAGTTGATGAGTGAAGTACTGATGGATTTGTTGTTGCTAAATCTCATTAAAATCCAGGCCCACTTGCGCAAAATGATCTTAGCGCTAAGATGATCGTAATTCCCATACTTTAAAATAGGCTTACGATAGTCATAGCGCTAAGATCGCTTTGTGCAAGTGGGTCTTGATTTTAATGTGGGTCCAGATCTCAGTTCTCGCTACCGCTAAACAAAGCGGTTTGGTATCCAGAACTAAGATCTTAGTATCTTAGTAATATTTGGAATATTGCTGAATGCTGTGTTAAACAACAAACAAACATACACACAGTTAGACTCTGGTCGGAATACGCACGAGGATCAGGTCCTCTGTGACTTTATAGTTATCTCCCTGTATAAAGTGACTGTACAGTTATAACAAATGCTGAATATGAACCGTGACCGTAGTGTTAAATCTCTTACTGAAACGCTTCCTTCAAAACATATTTTCAATCAGGAACTTCAGATACACAGAGGTGAGGTAGTTCAATTAAATCTATTTCCCAGTCCCAGTTTCAATATATAGATATGATATAGATTTTTTATGATATAAATGATAATTTCACATTAATCGTGTACATAATCCCATCCAGATAGAACAGGTACTTCTGTTTCATCGTCGCTTAACATTAAAATCAAATCTTTTACCAATATTTGATACCTCTCTTTGAGGTATCAAATCAGACTAAAACATCTGATTTTTATGTGATTGTTTGTACTCTATCTGATTGTGAGATGAAAGGAACATTTGGATCAATAGACACAAAATATTTGTTACTTGTCAGTGTTTTTCTATTGCCAGTAGACTGGTCTGGTGTCCTGTTGCTTTGTCCTATCATCTAGGAGTGAGTCTTGTAGCTCTGTCTGTTCTTCTTGGAGGTTATAACTGTGTGTAACTTGTGTTTTCTGTTTTCAGTTACATGTTCCATACCGATGAGATATGTGATGCATGTGTTTGCAAATTATTTTGTGTTGATTTTGTAACAGTCGCAATATGATTATTTATATTTATATTGTTAATATCCAGAAATAAAGAATTATTTCATTGTAGATTTTCGTCTGTGTTTTTAGATCTGATACCGGTCTCAGTATTAGAGGAAGCATATAAACAACAGTCTTTTTGGAAGTCTTTATTTTGTGAAAATATTAATCACTTTTTCATCCGATTTGTATTTTGAAAAGTGAGATAGTTAAATGGTTTTTAAACTGGAATAAATTCCTCATTGTAGATATTTCAAGTCCAAGGTGTTCTTGACAGATGTAGATTTGACACTATTATGGTCTCTAATAGTAGGGACTGCCTCCGTGGTCTAGAGGTAAAGCGTCCGCCCAGAGAGCGGAAGGTCCGGTGTTCGCTTCCGCCGTGTCATACCAAAAGACGTTATAACATGGTACCTGTTGTTACCCTGTCTGTCGCTCGGCATTAATGGGCTAAAATAAAGGACTGGTCGGCTCGGAGTCAGTATTCTCTGTCTGAGTGGGGTATTCATGCTAAACTGCGGCATGATATCTCAGTGGGCTAGCACTATAAATCAGCATCAGTCCGGACTAGTACAAGCAGCCACACACACTTTTACTCTAGAGTATACTATAGAATAGGAATAAACACACTGGTATGGGTTCAAATTCACTAGGGAGAATCATCCTGACACTAGAGAATTTTATCCCCGGGATAAAAAATAGGGTAGGATAATATTCACTCTTACCTCCCTATATAAGTGCAATAATCTTTGAAGGGATGTTAAACCCCATTTCACCCCTAAACATTCGTTCAGTAGGTATTCCTCCAATTACCAGTCAGCACATTTGCCTTGCTCTCAGTTCCACACCAAACACAAATTGCAAGCATGGCATCGTGGAACCCATGGCAACCAGTCAAAAGTAGATAAACTGATTCAGAAAATTATCCTGGAACCTGGTTAGCCTTAAGGTGTCACACTGATACAATGTGATGACTGACTGCAGCCTAAGACACCACTCCCTCACTCACCCACTCACTCCAACTGGGGGTGTTCTTAACCTGTTCTGAGCAGTATAGTTGAAATACTGTTCAAAGCAGCCTTAAATCAACTCATTCACTCACTCACAGATGGAAATGAAACCTGTGATTAGTGAAATGTGGGTGTCATATGATGTTTGCAGGAGCTTACAAGTATCATAATCTGTGTTGGGAACCCTTAAAAGTACTACTCTCAAACTTCTATGCAACCCCCAATTTAACATTATGAAATAATTCCACTCCCAAGAATACTCCAAGGTGTTACAACGTTTCACCCACACACATGTTGGTGTTACATGGAAGTTTTAACAAAACCCTTTCTTTACATCGGAGACATAAACTGACAGATAAAAGATATAATGCCCCCTCCGTGGTCTAGCGGTAGAGCGTCTGCATGGAGAGTGGAAGGTCCGGGGTTCGATCCCCGTCCGCCTCATACCAAAAGATGTTACATGATAGTACTTGTTGTTATGGAGTCATGTTCAGAAAGAACGGAATGAAACATCACTGGAATTACATTGGCCAATCTCTCTACGCTGTTGTACTACCGTTCTTGGTACCTCATACACCATTTTGCCTTGGCCTGCACAATCACCAGACTTATCACCTATAAATCTCTTGTGGGATCACCTTGACCGCCATGCTTGCCGTAAAAGGCGACTATACTTGTCGTAAACGGCGACTAACGGGATCGAGTGGTCAGACTCGCTGACTTGGTTGATGCATGTCATCGTATCCCAATTGCGTGGATCGATGCTCATAATGTCAATCACTGGATTGTCTGGCCCAGACTCGATTATTTACAGACCGCCGTCATATAGCTTGAGTATTCCTGAGTGCGGCGTTAAACAACAAACAAACCAAACCAGAACCTTGACCGTCAAATTAGAGCACGACCAGGTCGCCCTTATAACAAAGCTCAGTTGGCATAAGCTCTCTCAGAAGAATGGTGTTGAATCCCATTGCTTGTGATCAGACGTATCACATCTTCTCAAGGTCGTGTTCGGGCCATCTTCCCGAGGCAAGAGAGTTAACTGACTTTAAAAGTGGAAACTGGACTTTTAAAGTCAGTTAACTCTCTTGCCTCGGGAAGATGTGTTCGGGCCTGCATTGATTCCTGTGGTGGACACACAATACAGACTGACAAATGGGACATCCTGAAGGAATAATGGGAGGTTCATGTGCTTATTTCAGTCTTGGTGGTTGATCGAATACCGAACAACTGACCCCATCCTCCAAACTGTGGACACAATACCTACATTTTTGTCCTCATTCATGGCATTTATAACTTGTTATGATGTTAATAGATAATTCAATGATTTTGACAATACCAGCATGTTTATGTTGTATTTATTTCCAATAAAGGATGAACGATGCTTAATGGGCATTTCCCATCACAGTCAACAACTGTTTCAGTCATATCACAACAGGACAAGTGGAGTCAATAGCCTTGTCCAAGGATACAACACAGTGACGTGCATGATATGACGTCTTGAAATGGAAGACTTGAAATGATTATTTTTAGATAAGTGTTCCAAGGATACTGTCTGTCATGCTCATGCCTCGATGTCAAAGATTATGGCTTTGCTCGCGAAATATTCTGTATTGATGAGGATGACCATATTGCAGTCGAGACTTTTTTAAGGATGACTTTTTTCAAGCAGATGGAGGCTGTTTTTTTTTATTTTCACAAAATTATGAGCTGTGTTTTTTTCATCTTTTAACGTCATACTAAAAGACGTTAAAAGATGGTACTTCTTGTTACCCTGTCTAGCGCTCGGCATTAAGGGGTTAAAACAAGTACTGTTTGGCTCGGTGTCAGTATATTGTGTCTGAGTGGTATTCACACGCACGCACGCACGCACGCACGCACGCACGCACGCACACACACACACACACACACACGCACGTCGCTATATAAGTGCAACAATCTTGAACACGACGTTAAACCCCCATTTCACCTCACCATTTCTGGTGTCCCCCGCCGTGATGTTGCTAGAATATTGCTAAAAGCGGCGTAAAACCATACTCACTCACTTATGCTTGTTTTACGTCAAAGTCACCACTTATAAATCTAAATCACGATGACACTAAGTAATCGAGATAAACCAGTGGTTGACAGCATGAGCAACGATCCACGCCGCCGGGGTACGAAGACACAATCCACACATCGCAGCCAGCCAATCCTCATTGATGTTGGCTATCGACCAGCATGGAACCCATGTCGCACGGAACGGATCAGTCATCTGACTGTTTTGCAGCAATACGTTTGGGCAAATAAGCTAGGAATGCCACTGGCATGAGGTCCATCCTAGAGAGAACGCCTGTATTCTAGTTATGCCAGAATCAAGCGACACCAACAGGAGCCTCCTACCTCGTGGTTTGTCTGAACCGATATCGCCACATGACTACCATAACAGGAATACCGCGGCTGACCCCGTGGCTTCTGAAAACCTAGGGACAGTGTGTGGGAAATGTGAGGAATGTTAGTTCCCAGTAATGATCATTAGGTCACTATTCACTAAACAATGGTAGTCGCCATTAAGCTAAGCCATTAGACACTCCCCAGGGAGTTGAGAATACTAATTGAATGTATACCGATCCGTTAACTAGGAAATAGTATGTAATGCACTTTGAGCACGCGTGTACGATTCTATGTAAGTAAGTACACCATTAATAATAATTAATATTATTACTGCTACTGTTCTGATAGTTATGATCATTTTGGAGTCATAGGGAACATTAAAAACATATTGATGATCAACATGGATTGAAATGTAACTTGAGAATGTCTCTAAGCGGAACTTAATAAAATAATGAAAATATATTGAGAACGAACTGACTTGGTATAAAATCTCCGAAAGGTTAAAGATCAATAAACAGCTATCCTTCTATTTCCACATAGTCCAGCTGCAGAAGACCGGTCGTTGCCCTCTGAACGTGATTGGAGTGGCCATATGTCCGTCCCCTGTCCCCATGTACTAGGGCTTAAAGCAAATACTTAACAGTACATAAGCGCATGTCGCGGGGATTGACACACCCACGACACAACACGGTACCCCAGTATCAGCTGGTTCCAGCCCCTGACGCGACGTGTCATACTTGAGGTTATGGGGTTATACACAGACTGTTTAGTCAATGAGAAAGTACGGTTTTACGCCGCTTTTTGCAATATTCCTGCCATATAAACGTCGGGCGGGGACACCATGCTCGGATTTACATTGTACCCATGTGGGAAGTCGAACCCGGACCCGCGGCGTGACAAACTAACCCTTTATCCACTTGGCTGTCTCATCACCCTCGGAAAATAATGTATACGTATGTTAACGAATGTAGTACTCTCGGCAACAAACGTTACGGATAAACCTAACTCACTCACTCACTGATAAATTGGCTTGGTGTTTAGTTTGAATTTTGTATCGAGATTAGATATTGTCAGCTACAGCTACAAAACCAGATATTTTTTTTAATTTGAAACTATGAGGCTGATTTTTTTGTTAAGTAAAGCACCTTGCAACAATGCCATTTTCAAGGCGTGCAAGTTCTGTTTTGTCAACAGTCTGAAGCATAAATATTTTTTTCAAACTATTTCGGGGACAATATAGTTTTTTCGATAAAATCCCAACCCCGGATATCAAATGGCAAATAGTCGGTCCCTAAACAGCTATATCGTATAAACAGATATGAAATTATATTTCCTCAGTATCCAACAGCTGTTAAAGTGATAAACTGTTGAAATCAATATCACTGTTAAACAAGGATGTTTATATACTTGAATTCTCTCGACCTTTTTAAACACACGAATCTCATTTTTAGATTTTTATTCCCGTCCACCTCACTTTAAAAACACCCTACCTCACCCGAACTGCCTGGCAAAAGGAAGTTTACACTTGAAAATTGGATTTGACCACAAAATTACAAGCGTTAGTTAAAGTTACTAGGCTGAAAACAGTCGCCGAACCACTGCAAACCCAAGGTCAAATCACAACTAGGATACCCGTATCGAATATATCACCATCGAATAACCATTTCTTGTTTGTTTCATTTGTGT